GCCGCTGCTGGACAACGGCGAGCCGTGCATCGAGGTGGAGTGCGGCGCCAACCGCGCGCTGCTCTACGTGCGCAAACTCTGCCAGGGCAGCAAGGGCCCGTCCATCCGCCACCGCGGCGAGTGGCTCACGCCCAACGAGTTCCAGTTCGTCAGCGGCCGCGAGACCGCCAAGGACTGGAAACGCAGCATCCGCCACAAAGGTGCGGCCGCGCCGGAGACCCGCGGGGTGGACCCCCGCACTCCCGGGGGACCCGCCACCGGACCGCCCTCGCTCGCCGCCGGGGAGCCCCGGCTCGGCCCCGTGGGGGCGCTGCAGGTCCGGGGCTGCGCAGGAACAGCCCCCCGCTCCTCCCGGGCCCCGGCGCGCCGGGCTGGTGGACCTGGGGAAGTTGTTGGCCGCTCGGGGGAAGCCGGCGGGAGGCTGGCTCGGTGGGACACCTGCCTGCCCCAAGGCGGACCCGGGTTCCGGCGAGAGTACAGGGGTGCACGTGCAGTCGGGGTGCGGGGCGCGCTCGTGAAGGCAGAGGGAAGGCGCGGGGGCGGTGCGGGCAGGTGGGGGGCGGCGCGGGAACGCGCGTCGGCGCGGAGGCGCGCGCGGAGCCCGAGTGACTGGGCCAGGCGCAGCCTCTTCGGGCGCCGCCGGCAAGAGCCTCGCTCTACGGGCGCGACGTGGGGGGCCGCCTGAGTGGAACGCGGGGGAGCATGGTGAGCGCCAGGCAGAGTGAGAGTTAGAAAGTTAGGGACTGGGTGGCCCTGGACTTTGGGGTTCGCAGCTCCGCGGTGGGCGCACCTCCGGCCGCAGGAGTGGGTGCAGAGCCGGGTCCCTACGGTGCTGCTCCCCTGCGCGCAGACTCGGCCTCCCTTGGCGCAGCCCGGGACTCCCGGAGGGGAAGGCGGTCAGGACTGGAGGGGGTGGAGCGCGGGGAGGGACGCGGAGGCGGAGAAGAGGCCCGGCCTCTGCCAGGAAAGGCGCTCGCCCCAGCTGGGTTTAGAGCCTGCAGTTCCCCCGCGGCGGCGGCGGCCGCCAGGGTGGGCCGGGCGGCGGGCTGGGAAGTTGCTCGGAGGTGGGTAAGGGGAGGGCGTGCTTCGTCCACGTGCCGCTGGCTGCGCCTCTGGACGGTGTGCCACCCACGCGGGCTTCTGCGCCTGCCGACCGGCACCGCCTCCGGCTCTCTTCACAGGGAAAAGTCTGAAGACGCTCATGTCCAAGGGCATCCTGCAGGTGCACCCTCCCATCTGCGACTGCCCAGGCTGCCGAATCTCCTCCCCCGTGGTAAGACGTGGGGGGAAGGTAACTGGGACTGTAGGGACTGCCCTCCCAACACGTTTGTGCTGTTTTTCCAAGATCGGGAGTTGCGGCCTTAACCCTCATGGTGTGCTGCAGGGTGGCTCTGAGGGAAATGTGGGGTGGGTGGGGGAGAGCCTGAATAGGTGTTGGAACCTTGAGGCGCCCCAGCCCCTTCCCCGTTTGGATGCAGGACTTAGTCCTAGGGTCTTCTGTCTTCTGTGTCTTGAAGGTGCTTCTCCAAAAGGCCAGAGGGTGGGGTCTTCCTGGGTGGGGTCATCGGAGTGAGCCATGGGTTCTACCCTCCTTGGTCTGGGGGTCACTGTGTTGTCTGGTCCAACTCTGAACAGCCCCAGTCAGGGTGGCTCTTGTTCTGAGGTGGCTACAGCCTTGGATTCGAGTGACTTGCATGTCAGGGTGGAGGGGCCTGGGAGCTGGAACCCTGGCCTGACGGGTCTGGATGAGGCTGGTTCATGCCGTGTGGCCTTTAGTGACAAGAGCAGAGGTGGAGGATGGCAAACCGCAGGGAGGGAATTAGGGGCCCCCTCGTGGAGAAGTTGGAGAGAGTGGGTGCTGTCACTGTGCCCCATAGTTCCCCATTTTTGGCTCCTCTCAGAAGCCCCCATTCCAGGTGGGAACAAGGGCTCGTGTGGGCTTGTTTATTGGGACTCTCAGTGACATTGGCACGGAGGGCATTCTGGGCTCCTGGAAATGCTAGGGGCAGGTCACATCTGTGGGCATAAAGTTGTGACTGGACATCACAGACACCCACTCTGTAAGCAGGGCTTGCCCTCACAAATGCTACACATACTGCATCTCGGAGGGCCATGGCCATGATCCATCCTGTGACACCCCAGGGGTCCTCAGGTGTCAAGAGCCTCACCAGCCAACCCCTAAGTGAATCCCCTAAGCTCCTTCATATGCAGGCCCCCAACCCACTGGCCCTGCCCCACCTACCCCTTAAGACAAGAGGCCACAGAGGCCTCCCCTGCTACTGCTCTGCCTTCTGAAAGGTCCAAAACCAGTGCAGACCTCTGGTTTTGGTTGGGGGCGGGGGGCAGGGGAAAGGGACCTTGAATCTCCCAGGGCAGGCCAAAAGCCCACCTTCAATTTATCTGAATCGTTTATCATTGGGAGCAGGAGGTACATAATTTTTTCTCCATTGCCAAGGGGAACCCTAGACTCAGAGAGGGATGAGGCTGTGGTCTGGGGCTACGAGCTGATGTCACCCCTCCTGAGTTGGGTCCCTTTTGCCCATCACCTCTCCCCTGGGAACACTCTGAAGGCCTCCTCAGGTCCCTAGTAGCTGCTGTTGTCATCCAGAGGTTCCCAGGTTCCCAGCCCCTGCAGACAATCTCTCTCTCTCTCTCACACACACACACACACACACAGCAGGAAGGCAGTAGAGGAGAAGACGGGGCTCTCCTGAGGCTGAGGCTGGGCTCCAGTGCCTGGTCTACAACAGGCTAGGTTATTGTTAGGGGCTGTCCAGTCAGATCTGACTCATCGTGACCTTCAGCACAGCAGAAAGAACACTGCTTGGTCCTGCGCAGTCCTCAGAATCCTTAGGTTTGAGCCCGTGGTGGAGGGACTGGGTTGGTCTATCTTGCCTGGGCTTTTCTTTTTTGATGGGAACCCCTCGATTCTGGGCCCTCAGCTGGTTGGGCTGCAAAGGGGGTCTTTGGACCACGAGCTCAGCAGGGCCCGAGATTGCCTGCTCTGGAGGGGGTTGGGGGAGGGAATAATGCGTCACAGCTCTGCCAGTGCCAGGCCGTGGTCAGCCAGCCGGAGCGGGCCCTGTAAGGTGGCAGCGTGTGGAATGAGGCCGTATTGTTGACATTGGTTTGGGTGTCCATGCTGGACTGGGCTTGTCAACGTTGGCTTCGGTTTGGGGGTTCACACTGGACTGTGTTTGTTGACTTTGGCACTTGTTGAGATTCACACTGGACCATGCTTGTTGACCTTGGCACCGCTTTGGGATTACCATGGCGGGGGACACTGGGGCACCCAGTGGGGGAGCAGAATGAAGGAGGAGCCAGTCGGCTCATGGGGGCGCGGGGCAGGGGTGCAGGGCCTTCCCCACCCCCATCACAGGCTGAGCGGCTGTTTGTCAGGAGCTGGGGCAGAGTCCGGAGTGGGGATGGCCTGGCCTCACGCCCTGAGACGTGTACATATATGTACATACAAATGGACTGCGCCCGTTTGTCCTTGGTGACCACCTACCTCAAAGGCTTCTGTGACCTGGGAGACAATCGGCCTGACCCTTCTCTCCTCCACCTGCCCAGAACCGGGGGCGGCTGGCAGATAAGAGGACCATCGCCCTGCCTCCTGCTCGGGTCCTGAAGAAGGAGCCAGCCCCCGGCTTCCTGGTGAGAGATGGCACCTGTGACGGGAGCGGCCCGGCCTGCAGGCGGCGGCCAGCTCTGAAGCGCGAGGACGACGTTCGAGTCAGTATCATGAAGAGAAGGTGATTGGCCGGGACTGGCCACCGGGAATTGGGGGTGGGGGGTGGGATTGGTGTGGGGGAGACATAGAACAAGGAGGAGGGGCATAGGAAGCAGAACCTGGGCTTGGGGTCCACAGGGTAGGGGGCAGTGTCAGGGGCTCTCCTGTCCTCACTGTTCCCCAAGACTTGAGTGTCACCTTCCTGATGACAGTCCCACCCCCACTTCCAGAAGAGTCACCTTCAGCTGCCCACCCACCCATCCGTCCACCCAGCCATTTACCCATCTGTCTGTCTGTCCATCTCCCTGTCCACTTGTCTAACACAACACATGCTTCAGGAGAACCTTCTAGACATCCACAGCAATTCCAACCCTTTAGCCCAGTGGTTCTCAACCTTCCCAATGCCGAGACCCTTTAATGTAGTTCCTCATGTGGTGGTGACCCCCAACCATAAAATTATTTTTGTTGCTACTTCATAACTGGCATTTTGCTACTGTGATGAATCGGGCAGCCCCTGTGAAAGGGTTGTTTGACCCTCAAAAGGGTCATGACCCACAGGTTGAGAACCGCTACTCTAGTCTCTTCACACACTCCCGGTTCTCCCCAAAGATAATTCCCCCAGCCCATCTCTGGGTACTGCCCAGCCTGTTTTCCCACCCTTTTCCATACTGGCTACCACCCACCCTCCCCTTGATCTTGGGGTCTTTGGGGGGAGACCCCTCACCTGGCATAGGTGCCGACTGCATGGGAACTACCGACCTCTCTCCCTGCAGGGTCCACACTCACTGGGACGTGAACATCTCCTTCCGAGAGACATCCTGCAGGTAGGAGTCCAAGCTGGCTTTTCGATTGCTCTCCGGTAATTTCATAGCTACCTCCCACCTGGGCCTGCCCACTGGATCTGTGGGCCTGTCCTTGGTTCCCTGGCTTCTGGAATGTCACCCTGACTCATGGAGGCCCTAGAGGGACAAGGTAGAACCACCCCCGTAAGTTTCCAAGACTGTCACTCATCCTGGGAGTAGAAGGCCTTGTCTCTGTCCTATGGAGCAGCTGGTGGTTTTAAGCTACTGACCTTGTGGTTGGGAGCCCAGCGCATAACCCACAATTCCAGGATCGAGCTGAGTCGGAATTGATTTGATGGCTGAGAGTATTTGGTTTTAGAGGCTCACTCTGGCCCTCCACATAGGGCTTGCTCTGCTCAGTACAGACCCAGCTGCAGAACACGGATGGGAGAGGGGGAGGAAAATAGAGGGCTTGAGGCGATGGGATTCAGGGCCCAACTTCTCCTCCAGGGTGCAGTGGGGGTGGGTTTATGGTGCCCAGTCTTTGGGGTCCAGTGCAGCACTAGTGGGCCCATCACAGCAGGCATTGGGTGGGTGAGCGGGGTATGAGAGGTGGCCCTCCCCAGCACACCCGAGTCGAGTCCCAGCCCTGGCTGGACCAGTTGTTATTTACCACTCGAAGAAAGCAGCAGGGTCCCGGAGCCGAATTACAATAAAAACATCTTTAAACTTATTTCCACCTCATTTTGGAGTTGCTAGCTCAACTGATCATTTTTATGACCTGTCATGAACATTGATGACATTTTATGAGCCTTTTACTTGGGACATTACAAGATAAATTTGTCAGTGAGGCCTGAAGGAGATTGGAGTGCTGGCCCCTCCGCTCCCCCTTTCCCCCATGGCCAGGAGGTCACCTGTTCTTGGCTGCTCCCACCTGCACCACACATGCCTTGGCCAAGGGGTACAGGGGCCACTGACCAAAGGCATCCCTACCTAGGCCAAGATGGGCTGGACAGTGCCCTAATTTTACCAGGAGAGCTGCAGCTGGCCCTGCAGAAGAGGCAGTGAACCCTGCTGAGGGCTTTGGAGGCGTCTGCTCAGCTA